ACTAGAGTTGAGTTTTTTTGTTATAAACGTACATCTTTACAGATAACATACTTTACAATTTTTATATAAACATGATAGGTTTACTGATATTGGTGAACTCCAAACAGTTTATACAAAAAAATAGAAAACAAGAATAATGTTTGAATTTCGAAAAATCATCTTTCACTTTTATTATTTCTCGAGAAATTTCAAAAAATGCCACTTTTCAAGTGCCACTTTACAAAAATGCCACACTTTTGAAATCTTTACAAAAATGCCAATTTTTCAAAATTATTTTTTCTTTATATTATTTGTGTTTGGGTTAAGTGTGTTCTATTAGGGTTTAGTTATGAGGATCTAGAGGGTTTAAGGGTCAAAATATTTTTTAGTGTTTAGAATTTTAAGATATAGGGTTTAAAATCTATAATTAGTGACATTTTTTGCAAATGAACACCCCTAAGTGGCATTTTTGCAAATATGCACATAAAAAGTATCATTTTTGCAATTTCTCCTTATTTCTTTGATTTAAAAAAAAAAAAAAAATTTACCATCAAATAATGGTTCTTTGATGCCAAAGTTGGGTTATAGATAGATAGCAGCTTAAAAGTTTTGTTTTGATCCTTTATGTTTCTTGATGATATAAGACGGACGAATAAGCTACGAAGAGTTTGCGGCGATGATGAAAGTTGGGACAGACTGGAGGAAAGCGTCGAGGCAATATTTCCGGGAAAGATTTAATAGTTTGAGCCTCAAGTTAATGAGAGATGGTTCATCGCAATTAGAAGGTGAGAACTGAAAAAGGCCTTAGTTTTCAAAAGTAGCAAACTTCTGCATCTCTTAAAGAAGTAAAAAAGAACAGAAAAGCAGTATTCTTTGAAAATTGTCATTTTTTTTCACCACAATAATTATAGATCAAGGTTTCAAATGTTTTAGTTTACTTGAATTGCCAACCATCTTATATAATACTAGATTCTCACCGGCACTATATGCGGGAACATTCGTTGTATATGTGGTAAACTATATTTAGTTTTTGTAATATGTCGTATATAATATGTTTCAACTTTAGATACATATGTGTTTAGCTTGTATGTGAAATTGATTAGTTGAAAATAATATGATGGTTTTTGTTTTTACCTTGTAGGTAGACATGGAGTAGTACGAAGTATTGTATTTTATATTGAATATAGTTATTAGTGGAAGTATAAGTAGTTGACTATGTTGTAACTCGACCAGAGCCGAGCCGACCCAAACCCACATAGGTTCGAGATTTTAATGGGAATTTGACCCGGACACATTTGTTATATGAGTTGAATTTACATATCCAAACTCAAGAATATGAAACACATTGACTAAATGAGTTATATGGGTTACCTTCATATAAATTAAATATAATAATAAATTATTAGAGAAATCAAAACAATCTATATTATTATAAATCGGACCAACATTTTTAAATAATAAATTAAATTAAAATGTGTATGTATCTTAAAATAAAATAAAGTAAAAACCATAAACCAATAAAATCTATAAAGTAATAAAAACAATAAACCATTTATTAGTTTTAAAAGACACTTTGATCTTAGTTGGATGATAAGAAGAAGACATTTCTGTTAATTTTTTTAAACACTTGAAAACATTTTAGCGTAATTTACATA